GACAAGAAAACGAAGCGACCAGGGCAGGAGAATGCGAGCGGTGTCGTTGGTTCCCTTGTTGAATTCCCCGCGATGTCACTCGACTTCTCGGTAACCGACGACCCTGTAGACTATTAACTCGACGAAATGAGCGATCAGAGCTTGCTTATACCTCCTACGGCTTGGCTTCGAAAACTGACGTTGGGATCAACTCGAACGCCTTATATGATAACGAAAAACATGGAGCGTGTAGAAGCACGCACGGAATCAACAATAGGCCAAAAATAAAAATGGGAAAAATGTCGTAAGGAATTACGAGCGATCGTTAATCGATAACGTAAATCAAACGGGATTCCAGGGAGCGCGACTATTACAAGAATTTTCCAACGTTGAGCGCGACCGGGGATTAGCGAGACGTCCAGTGTCCGATCGCGGGACGGAAGCGGAAATACGAGGAATCCGCGCGAAATTTCCGAAGGAATGCGAAAAATCGCCAGCGCGGCACGCGTGACTTATGATAAGTGCTTCGTCGGGGATATTCCCGAGGGATCATCAATTTCAACGTTCACCCTCGCCTGTCCCGCCTCGCAACCCCTTAACCCCGACCAGGCCGACCTGCTTTTTCTTTAAACATGCCCCCACCCTTTCTTTCCTGGTAATATATCATGCGACGGCGAATGCGTTTTCGCGACGTGCACCCAGGTACAAGCGAACGAGTCGATCATCGGGTGTCCGCGTTTAAATAACGACGCCACGCCAAATGTCGCCGATCTCGCTTGTTAACGTACATATGCGCCATTACGCTCGTCTCCTAATCTCTTGTATCCCCTTCTTAGTTTCTGATTGCTTACGTAACATCGTATATGTACGATTCACCCACGACACGACCGTATATACACGATGTATCGCGTGTACACGGTACGAAATCGTCTACTATCGTTTTCAAAGTCCTCGCGTACATCGTTACAGCCAGGATATAAACTCTTTACGCCGCGGGCAAGTTAGGGGCAATAATTTGAAAAAGACAATGTCGAGTAACAATGTCCAGTTTTACTTCTGGTTTTACACTTTGATTGTTATCGCGGCGCGCCCCCAACGGCGGACCGCTCACGAGGGTGTTTTATTGTTTCCAATGTCTCCCTGTATTTTCTGCGGGGAGTATCTTATCGGCCATCGGCGGGTTCGTTTCGTCTCAAAGCACCTCGCGTAACCGCGGTCTCGAATCTCTCATAAAAATCTCAATTACATCACGCTGCTCGTGCAATCTACGACGATCACGATTTAAAGCCTCTCCCGGTAACCTATCGCGTCCAGCCGATACGACGTTAAAATATACCGTATGAAAACGCAGAAAAAAATACCCGCGATATCCTTCTGCGCGTCCGTAACACGGGATGAGTTTCGGATAACGCGTCCCAGAGGGGGGAATAAAATCCATCGTATCGGGAAGCGCCAAGTTTACGACGATACCTAACCTCCTATCGAATTTTTTCGCTCATTTGTCGTATATATTCACTTAGAAGCGTCGATGCTCGTCAAGCTTCGCCAGAAGGTAATATTTAAATATCAGAGTCTGAGTAACTTTTTTCATTTCTAGGCACGTGCGGTGTGCATTCGAGGTAGTCGTATATAAACGTTGCACTCCAGAGTGTCGATACTCGTAAAATTTCGTCAGAAGATAATATCTGAATATCAGAATCTTAGAGTACTCTTTAATTTCGAGTCATGTGCTATGTACATTCGACGCAGTCGTATATATACGATCTCGCTATGGGTGCTCAAGGAGCTGTTTGAAAACGTAGAAAAAAAAAAAAGCATAATATCCCTCGACGTGTCCGTGTCGCTGGATGAGTTTCGGATAACGCGTCCCAGAGGGTGGAATAAAATGCATCCTATCGGGGCCACGGAGTTTACGAGGCGCCTTCGAGAGAGATACCTAACCTCCTATCGAATTTTGCGCTGATTTCAATCTGAGCGCCGCGAATGTAACGGAGCACAGCAAAAACCAATGAAGATCGAACCGGGACGATAAGTCGCCCGAGCGGTTCGAGGAGCGTTTAAAGTTTCCGCGCTCCTTTTCTTTCACGGTAGTTGGACTCGGTCGTCGTTCCTCTCCACGGGTTTCTCGAACCTCCTAGCGGCCGTGTCGCGTCGAATCGACATTTGAAATATGCTATCGTAAATTAGCTTCCACCCGCGGAGTCGATTTTCTCGCCAGCCGTGCTCGACGAATGGACTCGCGCGCGTTTCTTGGAAACGTAAGATGGAAGAAGATACGGAGCTTCTGGCTCTTCGGAGATATTTATTCATTTATTTATTTAACTGGTGAATTAGGTCAGTATATAGAGATTCTTCTCTGAAAGCGGATATATACGGTGTCTGTAAATAGACGTTCATGTTTGAACGAGAATATATGCGACCTCCGTATATGAACGTCTTCCTCGTACATACACGACTTGCTCTAACGTTCGTACTATTCTCCCACGATCGGATTCTATGCCAGAATAACCTCGATCATTCCAATGTTTTCGTGTTCTCCGTCGAGTCGTCTTTGTTTCCAAACGATCTACTTAAAAATCTCGTAAATTATCGTCCTCCCGTGCCAGATACTTCCCTCCTTGTTAGCTGTAACGCGTCCTCTCCCGGGCAACTTTTCGAGATGCGCAGTTGCCCCGATTGTAGTTCCATCGCAGAAAAATCTCGCGAGATACGCGTCCGCGGTTCGCGAACTTCGTGTTAGCGAATCACCGTCCGGATCAATGCGATAGGGCGGAAGAAGGGTCCCGAGGAGTTGGTCGTCGTCGATCGTCGCTGGAACACGTCGTCGCGGAGACAAGTTTTTATCGGTTGGCCTCGCGTCGCTCGAACTTCGTTGGCCTCCCCGTCGTCTTACGTAGCAGAACTTCATAACCGACAGAGAACGAGCCCGGAAGTTTGCTAACGGGCTGACTCAGACGGTTCTCTCCCCCTTTTCGACGAGAGGAAATTCGCGGTAATACGCAACGATTCTGCTGAGGAGTCGTAAAAATGTCCGCTCGAGATTTCGTCAAACGCCGCTCTCCCAGAAACGAACGCGCTTCCAGGACGAAGGCTCTCGAAGCTTCGTGGCCAAATTAGGAAAATAATTTTATTACTTTCACCGCTTTATTATTCCCACCGATGTCATTCGTTTCTCTAGATTGTAGACAACTCCAGACCGCATATACACGATTGTTGACAATTCCAGGCCGTACATATGCGGCCTTTGCCATATCGTCTCACTGGATATTGCATTACAGGAAAAAAAGAATCGTTCTATACAAATTTCGATAAGAGAGGGCCATTTCAGCGATATACTGTTGCGTCGACCATCAAGCTCGTTTCTTTGTTTCGCGATGACGATAAACCTCGGTTTGACGGGGATCTCGCGACTCCGGTTTCGCCGTGGAGCCATCGATTTAGGTGTTCTTAAACGAACACAGAGCCTGACTAATTATAAAGTTAAATTAAATATTGATATGCAAGGATTCAACTTCCTCCGCGAAATAGGTTGTGTCCCGTGGAATTTTGCACGAGCTTCTCAGACATGCGATCACTGATTACCGCCGCATTTGTAAACAGAGAATATTTAAATGAAGTGACGGGAGCGGAAACTTCCCCGAGTAATTAGAAAGAAAGTTACAGTATAATAACTACTGGAATCCTGTCGCTTCTATAAACATTTATTCAACGCCGAACTGGGACGGAACTTCGGCGGTTAATTTAAATTTTAATACGGTTCGATCGCGTGGACATCAACGCACAAATTTCGTCGGGGGTGAAAAAGACAAACGCGCGAATTTCCATTCGGCGTCGTTTGTCATTCATAGGATTGCCAATGTAAATTAGTTCGGTCGATTGGCAACGATTTTATAGCGAACAAATGGGACGCGAATTCTGTAAGTGACTTAGTTTTAGCTAACTAACTATGAATAGGTCAGTCGTTACCTACGATTACGTATATACGGAGGTATACAAGATTCGCGAATATACGTATATCGCATATATACGAAGGACGATACGTGGATTATTTGTATTAAGAGAAAATGGTAATTAATTTTGAAGATCATGGACCGAGGGCGAAGCAACGAACAGCTGACTCACAATTCGCGGACTCGCTCCAATTTTACTCTTTCCAGGCAGGCGTATTTCTGTAGGAGGTCCTGTTCTACCGAGTTGACTCAGCCAACCTTGGCTGCCTCATCGGCTGAGAAATCTCAGATTAGAACGCCGCGCCTAAAATCGCGGTGCAACGACCAAAATGCACGCGCGGTATCGCGGAGAAGTTTACGTCACGTTTACACGACAGCACCGCCGTCGCCGCGGTGGCGATCGATAAATATGATCGTAGGAGAATGCCATGGCGCAATGGCCGCTTACCCGTGATCGCGACGAGTCCCCAGATGCGAGATTAACGCTTCGGAATCGCTCCTTTTCACGCGATCCACGGACCCGGTGAGCGTTGCGCGACCGCTTAAACGCTACCTCGATCGAAACGTCGATTAATCCGATCACTTTTCCTCTCCTTCGATTACTCAACTTCCCTCCGATCTAATTTCGCGTCGTATTATAATCTGTGGTTCCTCGATGTTTCTCCTAAGTAACTACAGGGAACGTGTATATACACCGGCCTCTGGGAGTGGAGTCTTTTACCAGAGCCGTATATACACGGTCACTGGAAGGAGAGTATGTTACCAGAGGCGTGTACATATACGATCACTGGAAGTATACACCATATACGTCGTATAAAGTGGAGCGATCCACGAAGTTCTTCAGGAAATCTTTGAACACGTTACTTTCCATGACAAACGAAACAATCGACTCGGGAATCCTTGCAAGCTTCCATCCGACTTCCTAAACTAGAATCTGTCGAGAGTCTATTCTCCATCCCATAGCGACGAGACCAACCAAGCAGGACAAGTTCCCTGGTCCCTGGAGCTTCATCCTAACCAAGTCGATTCTTTCGTTGGCAAGACCATAAGCGCGGACAATGGCGTACTCACCGGACTCCGAGACGGATGGACTGCCCGCAGACCTGTCGGAGTTCCTGGAGCTGGCCGTGGAGCTGGTGGAAGAGGCCGTTCCGAGCGAGCACTCGGAGACGCTGCGCCGCTTGGAGAGGAGCGCCGCGGCGGCGGCGGCTGCGGCTGCGGCTGCCCCTGGGCCGCAGGAGGAGCCGGTAGGCGCGCTCGAGCTCAACCCGTGCAACCCGTGGAGCCCATTCAGACCTGTCTGGCTCGTCAGCTGCTCCAGCCGTCGCCTGAGGAACCTTTGCTCGCGGGACAGCTGTTCCTTGTGCACGGCGTGCTTGCGTTCGCGCTCCTCCAGGTTCTGAAACCGAGGGACGAACCCGATTATGCTACGCACAGGACTAGAGGCCGTGGGTGTCTCTGACGATGTTGCATCGTCCCGTGCCGGATCGATACCACTGGGAAAAGGGAATCCTGGCACGGGTCAGGCCAAATGAACCGTGGGATATGTGCTCGACGGATTTACCGTCGCGACGTGGAACCTTTGGCAGACCTACTACTAACGTTAGACATCGTATATACACGATCTCGGTACTCTACAAGGGACGTATATACACGTCCTCTAAAAGTAGCCAAGACGGATATTCAGTACCATAAGTATATTCGTACGCACTGTGTCTATCGAAGGAATTTGCTTAATTTAAATGATAGGTTTGATGTTTCCAAATCGATGTTTCATTAATCCTTTATTTACTGAATTTCTCAAAAATTTTTTTAATCTAGACGCCCGTCTTGATCTTATATCATAGTATAGAGTTGTCAACAATTAAAAACGAACTTCATCGAAATGGCCTTTAAAGTAACAAATAGGTTCCAAATATGTGTTTATTTAAATACTTATAAGTCCCGTCAGTAAATAAAGGGTTAATTAATCCTCCAATTTTCGAACCCTTCGTTCACCTCTCGTTCTCTGAAACCCAGATACCGGGTAATCCATTCGACGCGATGCCACGAACCAAGTATTTCTTAATGCGTTTACGGGGAAATTATACGAGAGGAGATCCGTATTACGAGCGGGCCCGACGTTAACCGCGTTGCGGTCGTTTCGAAGTCGCGCAATTGGCTTGCCTTTTCCTCCGTCTTCGTTTATCGCCCGGCTCGCGGTATTAATTCGACGGGCAGGTTTATAGGTACAAAACTGTTGAAAAATTGCGGAATTACCGGTAAATCGTGGTCGGCTAATCTCTCGGATTACGATGAACTTTCGGGTAATACGCGAAGTCTGACGTGAAATTCGAATAACTCGTGCGCCGCGTTGGAACACACTTTGGGTATGTATAACGGGAGTGCTCGCCATGAATTTCGTTACATTTTCATCCTAAAAGCCCGACGATCTTTCTCGAACAACTTCCCTTTGTAGGTTCGCGAACGAAAACTCGTTGGAAATCGGATCGTTAGGGAAGACGTACGCGTACGTGTTTCAAAAGGAGACTGTCATTATTAGAGACGCATATATGCGCCCCTTTCACTCATCACACGCATACATATGTGACCTCTGAGAACAACAATCCTCCTCTAGACGTATATATGCGTCCTCCAGTCATCAGACGTATATATGCGTCCTCCAGTCATCAGACGTATATATACGTCTGATATTAAAACAGAGGTACCGACCATTCGGGGTTCATACACGATGGAAAAGGGCCTCCAAGAAGGCCAAACACGAACAGTCACCGTTTACACGGTTGGAATTACAAGACTTCCTATTCCACCAAGAAGCGAAGTTGTTTCTTTCCTCGCCACGTAATCGTCGCACACTCCACCCGGCGGGTGCGGTTCTGAATTTATTTTAAACGGAATTAACGTCGACTACCCGCGTCTATCGCGTGCACGGAATACGTATGCTCGCGGTGAAAATCCGATTAAACGTTTCGAGATGGAATCTTTCGTTGGGGTTACAGATGGAGGTGACGGGTGGGAGGAGTCGGTTTAACGGAAACTCCGTGAACCCGAAAGTCTGTTGGATTTCTAATTTTATTTACTCGTCCGATACTCCGCTGCCATTTCAATGGACAACGATTATCGAAGGAATATCTTTCTTCTGTATTTTTATTATTAAAGAAAACCAACGTTCCCTTCGAAGGAATGAAAAATATACACGATAAAGGTTTCGGTGAAATCGTGGGTACTTTTCTCGTGAAATAAAAAAAAAAAAAAAACAACGAAACCCCCCCCCCTTCGTTCCGGGTCGTGCACGAGAATAAAAACAGGGGGAGGGGGGGAGGGGGGAAGGAAGAAACGAAAGAAGCTGGCATGTAAATAAACGCGGTAAGAAGAACGACACGGGGGAGGAAGTGGTTGAAAGAGGGGTAGGTGGAAGCTGTCTGCGATTTATGACACCCTTCCAGAACACTACACAGTAGTCCCCTGTAATCACTTCTTCCATGCGGAAGTGGAGAACGTCTTGGAATAAGAGGGACGGGGTAAAAAGCGAGGCTGGAGGACAGGGAGATGCAAAGATAAGCAATTGCCTGGGATGGTGGCGAAATGAGGGGGGAGAGGGTGCATAGGGGGAGCGATTAGAAAGGAAGGAATTGCCCGTGACGGAAAGGGAACACCAGACAAAGGATGCATACAGCTTGCTAATGAAAAAGGAAGAAAATGCACCACGCATTTTTTATCATGCTTTGTGTGTTGCTTTTTTTGTGGGATAAGAGTCGATTTTCATTCTTCAATTTAAATATTGCAGATTTATTTTTTTTTTTTTCGCGAAAAATATGTTTACTAACGACATACACAGGACGTTAATAATCGAAATTAATCAACAGTTGCCAAGAAATAAGCCGGTGTTCGAGGAAACCTCATAATTCACGGCTCTCTTATCTTTTAAGAGGATCACGCATTCTTAAAAACGTGACACTTTGGAGAGACAGATTAGAGCGAAATGAAATGGAACGCACGAATATTAACACTTATTATGCTCTTAACCTTCTTCTCGCGGATTAGCTGAAGCGATACGGTCTCTGGAAACAGTCATTGACCATGGGCGTATATACACGACCTTCAAAGTATGGAATCATTCGTAGAAGACGAATGTATATACGGCCACTGGAAACAGCCAGCGTATATATGCGGTTTCTGCAAGCGGAGTCACATTCGAGAGACGTATATCGTCCACTTTCAACCGTAATATTCTCAGCTCCCAGATACCTTCGAAAACACACCGGGTGGTATTAGCAACGGAAGCACCCAAGTGGGCCAAACTCATCCGTTCGCAACTTAACAAAAACAAACGTATTACGCTTGCTCGGTAGCTTTTAATCCCCACACCGGAGATAGAGCTAGATTAGCGAAGTTGCAATGGACCATTTTGACTAACCCAACGCTCCCAGCGTTACCTTTCCACCATCCAATCTCGTGCCACCATGGATGTACCTTGGACATCTCGCTAGCCGCGCGCGCGCGCGCGTTCCTCTCGTATCCCGTATACCGTCGAACGGTGACACGATAAACACAGAAATTTAACGTGTCGCAGCTGCGCGACCGATTCGTATTCCGCGAGCCACGCAGCGGACGGTACGTCGTATCGGGCTTTATTGGCCAGTGGGACATATACGTACGTTCCGCCTCCCGTCGAGCAGGATGCGACCGTACGTGGAATACAAACTCGCATTATTCGATACGGGAATACACGCGGCGGTATAATAAATTTTATTTACATTATTCAACCGCCAGTGCGTTGCACCGTAAACGGGAGTAACATAATTGCAGGAAGCACTCTCGCAGGGGATGCATTATCATTCAGCTTCCACGTAAGTCGATGGCTACGTAAGTAGGTGGCTGGACTTGGGCTATCTGTGACAGAGCTTGCTGGACACAGGATGCATTCTAGAACACCTTTTTGTTTATTACGTTTGTTGTAGCGATTAAGAGTGCTAATAACCTTGGGTGAATATTTTTAGGTGGTCCTGGTGCTTCGAACGGTCTCGGTCCTCCGCTTCCACGTGTCACCAGCTGACTGCTACTACTCCGAAGATACTAATCCCGAATAAAGAACCTTTTCCATTCTCAGGTGTTCCTGATCCCCAGAAGATTCTGCTACCTCTCCAGAGAACTCACGGCCCTGCAACCTTTGCTCCCACACTCAGCAAACGATTCCTTTCCAAAGTGAATAAAGATAAAACGAAGCTAACGTAGGGTTAAGAGAACGTTGATATCCCCTGCTCGAGGCCTATCGAGGCATCGTCCGTTCGAGACGTTTGCAAATAATCTGTCCGGGGCGAGTCGGGCGATATATTCGCCGGATCGGGGCAGCCGGCGATGACTCTGCCGCTGGACTGCGGATAAACGGAATGCCGCCGCAGGTCGGAGGTAACCCCACGCAGAAACGGAATATTCATTACTCGATGCATCGCTCGCGGCTGATCACGAACCCAGCCGCTTTCGTGGGCGTCCGTTTCTGGGTTATGCAGCCTGGTGCAATATGCATGTGCGTGTCCCCGTCGATGCAGCGTGCAGAGCAAGGGGCATGGGGCGCGCATGACGCACACGTGCGACAATGCGTGTCGGCGACGACCCTTTCGAACAATACTGCTCGCTTCTGCAATCTTCTTCTTCTTCTGGAAGACTTGATACGCATCCTCTTAAAGTGGCGTCACATTCGAAAGACGTATATACGCTACCTCTGAAAGTATATTCGCGTTCGAAAGACGTATATGTGCGACCCGTCAAGTACTCCACGCTCCCTTCTACTTAGAGGGGAACCACCTGCTTCTTCATCCGCACAAAAACTGACTAAATCCCTCTGTTAGCCTGACCAGACTAGAAAACCCACTTCTCGAATCACCAAACTCGGCGTGGAGTAGCCCCGAAAATACCATTTCCGGTTAGCGAGCCAACTCCTCGGACGATCCCCGCGACGCCCGAAGAATCCATGGTAGTCGAACGTGCCAGGACGGTACACTGAAATGGAGTAAGAGGACTCGATAAAAATGCCTCGGAGCGCGTCACAGGAAATCAGGGTGGTTCGACCCCGCCGTAACGTTCCCTCGATCTTCCCTCGGCAGCTCCCTTTAGTCAATGGGATCGATCGAAACGACCGCGCCGGGACGGAATGAAATTAACAACGCGGACGTGGACCAACAATCCATGAAACGTGGAACAAGAGCGCGAGTGCTTTCTTCCTTAGCGGAAATGGATCGCGGAGGAAGCGTGCGTCTGCTCGATTTAAAGAAGTAATTTTGCCACGATGAAATCAGGATGGATCTACGGGGATCGGGGTTGGGGGTGAGGGGTGGGGGGGGGGGGGGGGGGAAATACTTTTTCAACGAGATGGCATAAATTCTTCCCAGAGGATTCGTTTCGGTTGGACCCCCGTTCCTGTGGGGGGATATTTAATGGTCGCGCAACGGGCGCTTAGCGACAATTGTGTTTAATTGCCGGGAAAATGCAGCCCCCCTTCTTCGTTTCCCTCTTCTAGACGCGTTTATCAAGGTCAGGCCTGCGTCAAAGGTTAGATAACTCGGGAAGAGGAGTCCTTGGGCCCGTGACGCTTGCTTAATTTTCTGTGGCAGATTGCACGACCGTGAAATGGATAACCTCTTCAGGGCTGAACGGTCGATTCGTTTCATGATACGTCGTGGCTTTTGTGTGTGACTCTACATTCAGAACTCATATATATATATATATATGTACGTCTTTCGAATGTGAATATAGTTTCAGAGGCCGTACATATACGTTTTTCGTCTATGACACTACGTTCAGACCGCATATATACGATTGCTGACAATCGAAAGCGTATATGTACGTCGCAATTATCAAAATCATCACCCATTATCTCAACAAATACAGGTTACCCGCACGGGCAAGGTCGTCCGCTCCCAGGCAGATTCCATTGCCCCGAGCCGCTAGCGGACTCTGTGTCTCGCAGGAACCGACCGCTCGGCTGATTTATCGCGGGGGCGATTGAATTCTCGTGCCACGGTGTCGCTGCTTCTCTTCCGAACGCAATTTCCACGCGATTTTATTGCTCATGCAGCGTCTTTATGGCGATTCGGGCGGCGCGGAGAAACGCTGACTCGGAGTTGACCGCCTCTGAATACATTCTGGGGCGAGTTTTAATCACTCGGGGCAGACGCTGTTCGTCTTGCGACGGATGCAATAATCGGACTTGTAGTTTGCGGCGACGGGCATCCTTTTTGGTACCTTTAAGATACGAAATTGATACTCTCCATTCTGTGAGAGATATTTCTTACGATTGTAGATGTAGGAAAAATAATGCTCGGTGATTCAAACCCACGATTCGTGGATTGTAGAATTCATGGATTCCACGATCTATGGACTTGTAGATTCGTGGATTCCATGATTCGTATACGACACTTCATTCTTCTGCACAAAATCCGCGATACTATGCAATCTTTTGTGTTTATTACGAAGCAAGTTGAGCTATATTTCGTAAATTGCCGTCGTCCCCGAAACCGTAGAGATGTTCCGAAAGCACGCGAAACGCCGCGTCCCGGTTCGCATAGAGTCGTTTCTAAAGCGGAAGTCGTGCCATTGTCGTGTTCCTTAACGCGATCGCAGCCTGTTGCTGTCCTTCTTCGGCAGACAGCGACGTGCCACGCTTAATACCATAACGCGTCGATGCATTAAAACGGGATGCTGTATCGTACGCGAATGGCGGTTTTGCTCCAACGACGACGTCGGGGAAAAAAAAAAAGGAGCAAAAGGATCGAACGGAAAGGGGGATGGAAAATGACTGGCGAGGCCAGCGGAAAATAAAATGCGGAGACGAGAAAAATAAAGGCGCGGAGGAAAGGCGTGACTCGAAGGATGAAAATGGAAGTTGGAAAACGTGAAAACAGAGGGCGGTTAGAGGGGCTGGAGGATTTTCTAGGACAAAAGAATATTGCGCTAAATAAAAGAACGGAAGTCATACGGGAAGGAAGATAAGGGGAAACGAATCGCGGAAAGATAAATAGTAGGAGATGAAAGAGGGTCGAGGGTGGAAAAGGTGTTAAGGTACGGCGAGGTAGATAGGGTGAGGTTTAATCTTTTCTCGCGTGGAAAATAATAAAGAAGAGCAAGAGTGCGGAGATGACGCGTTACCAGCCGTGGAACTGTGAAAAAATAATGATTGAAAGTAATCTACTCCGAACTCCACATTCGGTACATTCATATTTCAACCCCTCGAAGGATTCATCTTATATTTTTAAATTGATTACTCGGTGCTCCAAATTTTTAATAACCACACTCGAATACCCAACAAATATCCAAACACTGACCTACTCGAGTACTTCCAACTCGAAACTTTAAAATATTAATTATCTCATTCGAGGCTTGCTATCCTCCAATTATAATCCGGCGGTGCATCTCGGCCGCGCGGTTCCGGGTTAAAGCTCGCCGCTGAGGGAGCAGCGAAAGAGTCAAAAGAAGGCGATCTGAAAAGCAGCGGGAGGCCAAGCGGGAGACAAAAGCAAAGAAACGTCGGGCCCCTCTTGGAAGAGGCCACTCGTAGGTCGACGGAGAGCTAGGCTAAGGTGTCGCGGCACACAGAGAGTGGCGACGGACAATGGATGCGTAGTTAGTAAATTACAGGCTGGCTGGCACAATAGCGTGCAAAGGTCTACGTGCGTGTACGGTTGGTGGACGCGTATACGTGTTTGCCTATGGTCTCCGCTGCACGGTTTGCAGAGAGCGACGTGCAGCAGCGCGTATCCACCGTTCGTTCATGCATGCGGAGTCCGCGTGGGAGATTCCCCGTATATATCAATCCGATCTGCAGGTACCCTGTACATTACGTGCCTGCATTAGATACCTGCCGCAAGATTTCCCTGTGTCCACCATTCCCGCTGCGGGACCCGCTCGGGGGGGAGGGGTCGCCGCTGTTTGTGGAAGCCCGATCGTTTGGTCCGTCGCACGAGAAACTAGGCTGCGGTGTAATAATACGCTTCACGGTTTTCGTTTAAACGGACCAACTGAACGAGATTTACAGATTCCGTCGACTTAACCCTTTACATCACGAAGACGTACATGTACGGATCTCTTAGATGCATCGTTATACACGACGGACGCATATGTACGTTCTCGTTCATCAATTTACACATTTATATACGTGCATATATGACGTAGATGTACGATTATACATAATACGATATCTTAGGGGCATCGATTATACACGACGGACGCATGTGCACGTTCTCGTTCATCAATGTACACATTTATATACGTGTATGTATGACGAATATATAAGTTTTTACTGATACGTACACGTTTATGAAAGACACGTATATATACGTTCCAAAGATCGTACATATGTGCAGATTCGCGAATATATACGATGTATAATGATAGAGGAGACACGTGGCAGCCCGTTGTTATCCACAGTCGGCGTAGTAATGATTTACCGCGCATCGACCTCGCGCATCGCGTGGCCTAGGAAGGGGTCGCCTCTACGCTAGCGGCTCCCGTGCGCGCGTGGTAGTATGGGTCCGTTCGTTGTGTGGAGTACATCGTACGACGAAGAGAGTACGGTTCAGTGTGTGAATGTGTGTATGTGTGTGTGTGTGTGCGCGCGCGCGTGTGTGTGTGACAAAGCGCGGTGGGGTGGATGCTCCTGTTCATTTATCGAGGAGGGCCTGTCGTCACTTATCGAGGTACTGTCAAAGCGTTAATTTATTCTTTACAAATACAAAAATATTTGTAATTAAATCGGAATCATGAGAGTGCGGAAGGTAGAGAATCACGCGAACGCTACCCGTTTGGTATACGATGGCCACTCGCGACGCTTATATTAATTCGTGCAAGAGCGTGTTTACGCGAGCAGGCAAAATTACTCCCAAGTCGGTGTCATTACTTCTCTGCAACAAAATTCAACTACCGTATAATTACCAGAGTTTCCCATGCGCGGGGAACTGTGGTACATTAGAAAACTTTCGGTACAGCGCACTTGTGTATTAATAAATTAAGGACGTTCGATTGCAGCGCGTCGGGCACAGTTTCATAACACGTAGCGAAACCTGGAGAACAATTTTCAATGATTATTCGATAACACGCGTTAGTATAAACAGTCGCGCGTGTACTCGCCGGTGATGAGGTTTAGTTGAACTTCGATATGGGTTTTAAATAATTTCGTATGATTTGAACCTCTATACGTCTACGTATATATACGTCTTCCACGGTAAGCGACTACATACTAACGACCTATACGCCGTCTAAAACGCAAAGATGTGTACGATAAGCGCGTATATACGTCTCCCACGGCGCCCATGCGCACATAGAACAGCAAGTATTCGAGTTGTTAGACTAAGTACGATCGCGATTAGTCCCAAACGAGCCATAGCGAACCCATCCTAAGTTCCACTCGTTTGTCACCGGTTGACCTCCACCGTTTCGATCGACGAGCGTATCCCCGGGTGCCCCGGCGCTGACATATCACGAGGTCTCGCCGACATTAAAATCCGCCCTATTGAGACTCCTCGAAACTTCGAGCCGGTCGACGACGAGTTCGACTAATTAGAGTCGTCTGAAAGCGGCCAGCTCATTAACGGGGCGCACGGCGATTTATCATCAGCCAGCCGCTAGCCAACGGGGAAAAAAGTGGGAAGCGTGGACCAAAGGGACGACGGGTAAGCGACGGGGTGGGGACGAGGAGACGAAGCAAAGATTTCGGTCCGAGAAACAAAGAAGGGTGGTCCAGAAGCGGCGAGACGAGGACAGAGGGCCGAGGAGAGGAGCCTGGAGGAGAGGAAATGAAGCGTGTCGAGGGTGGAAAGAAGCCGAAGGAAAAATTAAAGGCGGAGAATCGAAGGGAGGGAAAGGCTCGTAGCTGTGCGGGAAACCTCCACCTTTGCGTTGGAGGGTGGAGGGCAGCTCGAGGGTGGGTGGTCAGGGTTGAAGAGGGAGGGACGAGGGGGCTCATTCGTATTTCGCGCTGGTGGAGACGGCGGCGTGTAGCAGGCGGTCGTGCTCGGGTAATACTTTATTTGTCCGCCCCTGGACCTTCTTTCTTTCCGTCTTCCAGCCGCTATCATCCCGCCGCGGCGGTGTTTCTCCGACGGCTGTGCTCGACCGCGATTCTTTTCACACTCGCCCATCTTTTCCGCCATCTTTCTTGCTAATTACCCGACCCGTTTTATGCGCGAGCAAATCTCCCTAGCGTTTTCGCCGCAACCCGTGCACGTGTGACGATTGGAGTTGTACGACCACCGAGCTTCATCGGTACTAAGAACTTTTCCTCTTTGGTTATCGTGTATCGCTGAACGGTATAGATACTTCGGAAAATCGGCTATATACGTCCCATGAAAGTTTACCAGACATATATATATACGTTCTGCCAGAAAGACTCAGCTTCTTGCTGCTGGAGTTTAAAGCAACGCCATCAGGGCTGTAACCCTTGGCTGGACGAGCAGCTTCCTGGTCTTATTCACCCTGGCTCGTTAAATCCTTCCGTCCACTAGAATCTCCATGCGTGCGAAACATGACATAATGGCAGAGTTGCTACGAATTTCCTCTTGTATCGCCACAGCTCGGTCTGAATTGCCTCATTAGGGAGACTGTTCGAACTGTTGTCAGCAATTTAGCTATTAGAGGGAAGATCTTCCTCGTAGATGAACTTTATCTAAAGACTTCTCTTGCAGTTTACCTAGTCTCGAGGTTAGGTCCGGGTTAGCTCTTGGTTCGTTTACCCTCGAAACTCGAATGAGAAAGACGAAAGGGTTGCTGGAAGAATGAATTCTTCCCAGCTACCAATGATATGTACGTGTCTGTCCAGGCTCGCTTCTTGGCATCTAGGTCCCGCGAACGGCGACTTCACCTAGGCGACAAAACCATGAAATATTCAAACGCACCGGGGGGGGACCCCCCCCCCGTTGTCCATCGTCTCGCTGGGCGGCTAGACTTTTACGGAAAGCTTTCGCGCGTGCATCCGATCCAGGCCTTGTCCTGCGCTGCGAGTCGTAGGTACCTGCAGCGCGGATAATCGCGAAAGATGGAGGAAAGTTACTTAACCACCCTCCGCGGAGAATGGGTTGGCGTCTCGGGTCGCGAAAAGATGGTGAAACGAGGAGCGAAGGAAGGGTAGAACTTGTAACAGTTTGCTTATAGGTCTGAGAGTCTTTCGTTATAAAACTTGCGTCCATCTTTCGCGACAGTGTTTCACGATGGAAACTTGTGCGTACCTTGATAAAACGCTTCGCCTTAGTCAAGAGCCCCAGCGTGGTGTGTCTCGAGGTTTCGGGTCCTAACGGAACCAATACCTTCAGCTTTTCAAGGCAATTTCTGAGGTGCGCTCTCCTGCAACAAAAATAAAAACGATGGAGTTAGTAAAATCTCTGGCGGAATGTAGAACTGAAGGCTTGGTTTATAAGTGTAGGAAGAATTCTTAGGCGTTCAATTTTTGGGAACGAGTTTCATTAAAGTCATCCTTGTAGGAGAGAGTCGTTTAAACCTTTCCTAAGAACGTATATATACGTTTATTCCAGTAGCTGTACGGTCGCAACGACCAAGCGAACTTAGACGAACCTAGAATAATACAGGATCGGTTAGAAATCATGGCGCGAGTTCAGAATGGAATTCGAAGTATTCTCGCGATAACCACTGATTACGCTCGAGGAAACGTTGTGTACAGGGTGACCGGACTCGAAAGTTTACCGCGCTCGTAATTCGTCCCGCGGTGCGGCAGGGCTTTCGAATTACCCGAAAGCCTCCCTGGCATCCGTTTTTCGTGTCACGTAGGCCACGACGATGAATGGAGCGGAATCTCGCCCTGTAAGCTTCGCTGGAACCCCGTGAATCAGTGGACGAAATAGAGGTCGCGCCGCGCCACTAATAAAAACGAGTCGGGGTTGTCCCATAAGAATTCAACCAACGAATTTCCCCATCACTGGTCAATTAGGTGTGAGAACGCACAATTCGTGGCGATCGTGTATATACGCCAGCGGGAGGAATAAACGTCATCGAAACATATTTATATTTTATTTTATAACTCGATCTCTGGTCTTTATTCGACGTGTCTTGCGGGAACTCGTTTGTCTTTGATGCGTTGACAGACATTTTTACCCGGGCTCGTATTTTCTTCGATACCGTGCAGCGAAAACGTAGATTTCGTCGCGAAACCGTTCGGAAATAGCGATAAGATTCCGATTATCGCGGCGATCACGGGCCATTAGCCGAGCGAATCGCGCGATAAACATACATTCGGAATACGAAAGCAGGAAACGCGCGGGAATTATTTCCCTCCCGGAACACCCTGCGGCGACCGTTGGAACGGAGAAATGGCACGTCGGGAAGAATTCTCCCTTTCGAATCGATTTTACCAGCAATTCGGGGACGCAGTTGACGATTATCGAACGGGGTATCGATAACTCGTCTGCGAGTGTACTGTGAAATCCTAGCGACTGTGGAATTCTTGAAGTTATTTCACAACAAATCACCCTTTCGAATTGGAAAGGTTTTGAGTCGATGAATAAATGTCCATTTAGGAGACGTATATGTACGATTCTTGTGTATACACGTCCTTTGGGTCGTTTCAGAACAAACCACCTTATCAATTTAAAAAAAAGTTCCAGTCGTAAACAACTCACCGCGTAGAAGACGTATATACACGATTCTCGTATATATACGGTTTGTGAGGACGTGTATACACGTCTCGCGTATTCGAACCGTAAAAATTCATACCTCTTAGAGCACACGACGCGCGCGCGACGTTCGAAAAATCAACATTTATTCACCGAGAGTGCAGGGCGAACCGCGCAACGCGAAACAAGACCGACCAAATAACGGGGGCAGTTTTTCCTGCGCGAAAATTAATTAAAAAATGTACGCCGCGATGGGGGCAAAAGAGAGCGTAGACGTCGCGACGTCTCGTCAGCGGTGGCCCGCGGGTCCCGTGGCCACGGGAATTTATTTCCAGCGTCCGTAACAAGTTCCTGGGCGGACGTGCGTCACATGTGCCAAACACGCGCCGTTACAGGCATTTAATTATAAGTTTATGCCCCGGTTTATTGTTCCGTCGTGGAAAATGGAGACGACGGCGGTGAAGCTTGTCGCAGACGACGTCGACGATCAAGGGGTTGCAGACGAGAGGCTCGAGGGACGCGCATACCGCGAGTAAGGAGACGGGGTTGCGGAGGGGGTTGACGGAGGTTTGGGGTGTCGGGTTATGTCGAAAGAGCCTACCAAGACGTCGACGTCTGCGGGAACACACAGCCCCGTGTACCGCACGTTTGCACGTACCGTTTTACGAGAAACAATAAGCCGGCTCTGGCTTAATGACGTCATCAAACGGTATTATGTCTCGCGGGCCGCAGAGTGGACGGTTTCTGCCCCTAGATAGTTGCATTCTGCCCGCTGGAAGCGTTATGCACAGGGCATTTAAGGATGGGGTTGGCTGGTTTTAAGGGGCTCGAACCCCCCCCCCCCCCGATGCGAAGGAGGAAAAAAAAACTCATTTCGCGGAAGGTTTGCTTACGGTCGAGTTGTTGGCGCGAGCGGTGATCGAGCGTCTTGGGAAATCGTGGACGCTTCTTTCTGCTTTCTTCATTTTCCCTTCCTTTTTGGGGGACGATTGGTGGGCGTGGTTTCGGATAGACAAGAGAGTATTCCTTGTTTTTAGTTTGTCGATAGGGCCAGTCTGAGTTAGGAGGCCGTGTATGTACGATCTCCGATAGTGTACGTATTTATACGATCCCTGAATTATGAAATCGTGTATATAGTGACCCTAAATATGGAAAAGCGACGAAAGTCAAAAACTGTATCAGCTTGCTGAATATTTTACGCCCGGATCAATAACATGGTGACGTGGTCGAAATTTGCAATACCGTTTCGAAAACAATGTTACCGTGAAATAAAAAATTTGATCTAGTCCAGCGTTCCCATTTCACCAACGTAACAGAAATTGAAACGAAAATATCGCCCTATTCGCGCGGACTAGAAATCTTATTTAAAAAAGTGTTGCGTTCAACAAAAAGTATTCTTTCGTAGAATTTGTCAATGTTATTGAAAACGAAAGATTAATTTCCACCGGTTGAATCAGAAATTTAATCAAAACTTCCGCTTTCTCGAAAGTTGTTGGAAAATTCGCCGGAACTTCAGTTTTCTTCCTCCGAGTAAATTCGCTGTCTAGTATAAACAGGGCAAGTCAATATGAACTTTCACTTTAAAGTAACTTCTTTAGTCCCGAGCTTGGAAGAAACCGTTTATGAAGAACTATGGTCGGTTCGGAGGTCACTGAAAAGTTGAAATTAATTTTCTATGGAAACGTGAGTCTGGTGTTACTTTTTCTAGAATATTCTTTGATTTTAGTATTTTCGCGAATACGGTTAACGTGGATTTAAACGTTCCAAGCAATTGATTTGCCAAGAATTTCTGTTTCAATTTATGGTGCATCCGTTGTATTCAATCTCCTAAGGCTAGCATCCTGGTTGTATTCGCGAACTAACGGTTAAGTAAATGTTTGATCAGACCTCGATGCTGTTTCTGTATACACCAGAACCTACCACTAGCCGCCACCTAATAGGGTGCAGGAAGAGGATTGATTTTCGACAATTAAAGATTACGCGGATACACTGGGCAGGTGAAAAGTAAATAAATATTATTCAAATATTTACACAATTATTTTAGATAAAGATTCGAACTGAACTATCCCGAGTCGTAAATTAGAAACTTTTAGGACATAGCAGTAATTTGTACGTAGTCATATAAGATATACTTGTCTACGAAGATCGTATATATACGTCCCGAGAAAGTAGACAGTCGTTTACCACAAATGTGTATATACGGTCTGACGAACGTGGACAGTGAATTCACAGAGTATCACACGTATCTATACATACGGTGTCTTCAGGGGTGGAGGACGTATATATACGTTTCTCCAAAAATAACGTCAGTTATAGGTTACAACGGCGTGATTTTCACGACTTCTCCCAATTTTCCCATACAAAACGGCTCTTACCAATTTCGGTTTAGTCGCGACCGAAACGCATCGTCAAAGAGTTCGGTCGTCGTCGACGCGGCGTAATTACAGTAATTGCAATTAATTTCATCGTTCGAGCCAGGCCAACATTGGCCACCGTCGGCCCACTAAATCACCCAGCAACAACTGAAATTAATTACAACCTTCGCGTATTCGCCATAAACCTGGAAACGCTGCCGAACGGAGAGCGACGCCGCGCCGAGGCTCGATTATCCGGGATTCCGTTTCATCCGGGCAAAGTGAGCCACAATATAAAGTTCGAAACCCCAACTGACGCGACCTGTCCCCCGTTACGCGAGTGTCGACGGAATGAAAAGTCGCCGAACCGCGAAACGTTACGCAAATATGACGTAGATAGAGCCGGAGTAACCGCGGCCTGTCTAACTTCGACGCTGGGACAGGTTTGACGGGGTGCAGAGTTTCGGTAAACAAATTATTTACGTGCTGACATGCCGACTATTCTTCGCGACGATTGCCGAATAGTTTTAGTCCCGTTTCGGTTTTCAATTTTTTATTATTTCCAATTCTCTGCGGGAGTTACATGCGATCCTTTGTTCTATTATTATCATTCAACTTCTGAGAGATAAGGTTGTTTATTTATAGAAACACTGAGCTTTTTGGGACAATCTAATAATTTGCACCAAGTCATCGTGAACGTATATATACGGTCTTCAGGACAGATCAACGTATATATACGACCCAGATGATATTAACAATACTGCAATTTTCAAGTGCGTTTCCGATGCATTTTCTACTGCACTCGAAGAAACGCATATATACGTATCATTGTCATTCTCGACGTTATTTCGAGCAAATCGATATTTCGGTTATTTTCCAATGGTATTGCGGAGGAAAGGATCGAAACGTCATTTCGCGCGGTTATTACTCATTTTCGTTCCAAATCAAATTTACGCGGTTCTGGCGCGCGGTGCATAGTAAATTAGTTCGATCTCGCGCGAGAAATCGCGGATGCCGCGTATAGTAGCCCGCGTTCGCCTCTACGTGCATGAGAAGGTAAGCCGCTTAGCAGCACACTCGGTCGGAAAACTAAAGGCTCCCGTAATCCTATTCTAACCGGGGCGGGCCGCGTTGTTGCTGCAGAGACGTGTAATCGGCTCGTTTGAATTATTAACCGCTTAACGTTCACCTTTCTCCAAAAGTTGGTAATTAAAAATACTCGGGGAAAAAAGAACACGACAAAAATATAACATTCACTTTTTCTAGTCAATCGCATCGGTAATAGAAGTAATTAATATTTTTATTACTTTGTACTGGAACTGGAATTTTTGAAAGTACGAACAATACAAAAAAAAAAAAAAAAAAAATGCCAAAACAAACGAATAATCTACTTAAAAATTGAAAGCAATAAAAATGTACGTTGTTACTAACAACGAAGAAATTATCCATTCAATTTACACTTTACTCTTGAGTCGAGAGTTTCGTTTCATTTTATTTTACTTCGTCGTCTTATTAGAATTTCGTGTTTTTGTGGTGCTATGTTTATTGGAGATTTTATATTGGTTATTTTCAAATGGCCAGCTTAATCGGGGTTAGCGGAAAAATACAGTGTGTACCTATATACACGGGTACACTCCGGTTGGAGCGTCGAGTGGTTAAAGGAGCCCTTGCGCGCCTCGTTTCGCCAGAATTCACCGACCACCCTCCTCTCCCCCCCCCCCCGCCCCCCCCCCCACCCCCCGCGGCCCCTAAAGCACTGTTTTTCCTGCTTTTAGATTTTATTTTTACACGCTCCTTTCTGGCGCGCGGGCTCACGCTCGAAGAACTCGCGCGCTTTCACGCTCGATTGCCTTTTAATTGCTCCCACGGTCCGATCGCTGCGGGTTCGCCGGCTCGAATTACGAAAAATCGCGCAAATATCGCACCGGTTTCAAACGTAAAATAGTAGAAGAAATCGGTAGGTTACTTCGTGCTGAAATTTTCGAATTATATTCGAAAGGTGCGTTCACGATAGCGAAAGAAACGTGTCGAAATTTGTTAGAAGGACGCGTGTGCGGATGGCGAGCCAGGTCGAGGCAGAAAATATCGACCGTTCAAGGTCGTCGCATCCGCGATTCTGACAGACCAATTCCGATTTAAAATTACTTGTACGGACAAATTCAAATCTTTTGATTCCCTAACATGCATCTTCTTGAACAGATTTACAGATTGCTCGAGGCAAACGTGGCGATCTATCCCCGGTGTCGAAGTTGGCTCGTCCATCCACCCATCGAGGAGCCTCTCCTCTTCAAGAATCTCCTCGATGTCAGCACTCCAGGAAGGACTCCAGTCGGGAACAGACGGTTAAGCCGACGGTGGCGCTCCGTTCCTTCCGATGAAAGTGAAACCCAAGTGAAAAGAAAGTCTCGTGCATGCGTGGCCGACGTTCCCAGGCCGGGACGTCGTCAATAATTTCGGGAATCCCTGACTAGACGCGTCAGTTTGTCCAAGAGACTCCCCGAATGACTACGCGTCAGATTCTGTTGAGCCAGAGGGTGTTTCTCCAGGCGAGCGGCAACAAAACGCTCACCCCACGGGAAATAGTTGACACGAGGCGTCGCAGCCATCGCGCGAGCATTGTCGAATATTCCAGCAGACGGTATCGAATAGGGGGGTTCCCTTGCCGAGGCTCCCTCCCGCGCAAAACCCTCTACCGAAACCCGTGGCGAATTAATAATCAACGTTCAAACGTTACCGACACGCGTCTCGGGCAACCGTTCGAGCCATCCGCGTCTTCGCGAAGCACGCCGCCTACTTCGACACGGGAATTCCCCGCGAAGTATTTATTCATCAGGCTCTGGTACGCCGAACAGCCGGGACAGGAATTTCATAATGCTGGTGTCACACGCGCGTATCGATTGAAGGGCCACCCCGTCGACTCGTTCCAGGACTCATCGGCCTGCGGCAAAAATGTTGCAGCGAGCTGCGCCGACGGGAAAAGGATGTCAAAGAATGATGAGATTGATAGGCAGGGAATGGCGGGAATCTCCGAGAGCGACGCTAGTGTTAACGCGCGCTACGACCACGTCGTTCCACCGGATCGGCCTGGTTTGTCTCGCAAGAGGTACCCGTGAGCTGACTTTTAAGTCAGTTTTTGCACAGTGGTAGGTAATAAAGAAGGAAATAATAGAGCTAACAATTTTACAAGATTTTATTTTTGTTCTCCTACAATTTATTTTAAGTGCAACTTATTTATGAGCAAGTTATTAGTTGCTTCTGGCAGTAGTGGCCATATTACTTCAGATAAACAATAGCAACGTCTAATCCCGAAACTATATACTATTAACTTTAGTTTCTCATAATGTACCACTGTGCAAAAGCTAATTAAAAAAGTCAACCTCACGCTCGGGACCCCCTCCGTTCGGGATCGTTGTAATCTCCTAGGATCGATATGATTCTATTAATTTGCAGGTGCACCAACATTCCCGACACTGGTCCTAAAATTCCGAATGACCGTAACTAAGAAGATATGCGTTCGCCATCCACTAGATAGCAGCCACGGCGGAAACCGCGATGCACCGTTTAAATTGGAGGACACGAGCGAGCACGCTGCTACAATCTCTAAACCATGAAACATGACCATAAAGGCGACCGCGCGCCGTTTAGCGACCATTTGAATAAATATACCGGGTACTAATGTCTCATCCGCGGAGTCAACGTCGTTCAGGCCGCTCTAACTAGCTGCGCGTAAAGGGAGTCGTACGGGCTTGCGAGTCGAGGTATACCAAAGCAAGGCACGAACAGCAGTCGTAAGTGCGTGGCTGCAGCCAATCCCGGCGGGTGCATTGGCCGGCCATGAGTTAGATCGCTTTAACAGCCGCCTGTAAACAGCCTCGTAACTCCGCTGTCCCCGCTTCCCTCCTCTTTTCTGCTGCAACCAACACTCCCACCACGGGAGCTGTGCCTTCTGCTGCACATTCATCCGGCCCGTCCCTGTTGCTTGCTCGTTTCTCTATCTGCTCTGCCCCGCGTCTCGTTCCTTCCCGATGCATCGATGCAACCGCTGGCGCACATGCACCGCCACTGCCTCGAGAACGAACGAGATCCGACTGTTCTGGTCGTGCACGCCCCCCTCGCATATATACGACCGCCGAACGGTGGACGGTTATTCACGCTGGGTCGTCTATATACGTCCTCGGAGCACACGTACACGGAGAGCACGGAACAAGAGGGCCGGAACAGCGCGAGTGGCTCGTTAATGGCTCGAGGAGGTCTAAACTACGGAGGTCTCGACTATTATTCGTTGGTGGATACTGTCCTTTTGCTATTTGCTTGTGAGTTATCCAAGGGAAAGCGGTGGTGATTGCGATTACGTACGTGTATATACGGTCCGAGGTGGAAAATCGAGATTTGCGAGGTGGCACGCGTCAAGGGGTTTCCGTGAAAAATCACGGAATCACGTTCCCATGAATTATTGAAGTATTCCACGGCCATCCGAGCGAGCGTAATCGCGCGGCATAATTTTCCGTTTCGCGACCGATAGCGGCGACCCACGGGCAAAGGAACACCGCGCGTACTCGCGTGTTGCTTTATCTCGTGGCGGGACGTGTTAAAGCGGAATTATAACTCGTGAAAAATGGCACGAAAATATCAACCGGGAAATTTATAGCTCGTAACGCACGCCACTCCTGCCGATAACGTCCAGGCACGCACTTGCGTGACGACGGACTCTGGAATAGCCTCGCCATCGATTGATCGCGACCAACTAGCGTGGTTTATTCGCCCGGCGCTAAAGATTCCAGGAGGCGTCGATCCACCAGGATATAGCGACGTTTAAGCGACGGAGAAAAATTATTTCACGGAAGTGGTTTTTGGATGGTTGCGATGGTTTTGGGCGAGTGACTGTCGAGGATGAGCCAAGAAACATTAAGTGTTAATTGCTGAAACCTCTAGAGCTACGATTCGTGTTAATTCCTAAAAGTCCTAGAGGTAGGACTCAATTCCCAAAATTTCTAGAGCTAGGACCCAAATTAATTCCTACAATTTCGAGAGCTAGGTTCCATAGTCATCACCTAGGAGTCACCAATTCGCCTCGTCCTAGTTCAAGCCACAAGAAGTGCTTAGATAACGCCAACCCTGAGCCATTCTCTCGAATGCACCCGGAGATGTTCCAGCGGAGCTCTACCAACCCACGTACGGTACGACAAGAGAACGAAGCCATCAGGAGCCATGCCCGCGCATCTCTAACGGTTGAAGCCTCCCAGAACCGCACAGTGTAGCGAAACTCATCCGAAGCGTCTTCGAGAGCTCGCCGGGACGGGAGAATCCCAGGGAACACCGGTGTACAGAGGCAACCGGGCGACTTAAGTCGCTTTAGCTAATGCGGTTCATAACGAGCCGCCGTGTCCTCGCGAGACGAGCCTCTTTCATTCCGCGAAGAGTATGCAGCCGCGAGAGGAACCTAACGTCGACGTTGGGTAGCTTCGTGCGATTAATTCTCGGCCAAGTTTCGGATCCCCGAAGAAAGAATAACAGGGAGAAGTTAAAACTGAGAACGAGTCTCGAGAGTTATTAGTTTTCATTTTTCTTTTTTTTTTTCTGGACTCGACGATGCTCATTTTAACACCGAGACTATATGCAAAAGTAAGCATGCCATTTGAAGTGACACGATTACTAAAATGTATCTCGAAGGAGTTACCTGGACGAGAAGGTACGACGTCCCGCAGCGAACCATAGATCCATCCGATGGCGATGCTTCCACCTTCGATTCTCGCGATTCAATCGAACCAAAAGTCGTTTAATAACCACCGAACGGAATAATCGCGATAATTATTCGCGATCAAAGGGCGACAATTAATCGGACCTCGCTTAAAATCCCGGCCCGGAGGATTCCTAAAGGAAGGGGTGGGGTTGAAATTAACATCCCTGATTAATTGGACGTTCGGAGAGTGGCTCCAGAAACGGCTTAGCAATTTATTACGACGGATACTCGAGTCGGGGCTAGCAACTTGTACGAACTTACGCTTCGCTTGAACTTGCCCATTCGTAAAGCGAGCCCCCGCTAGATCTAGAAGGAGAAACAGGGGGTGAGGGGGTTGCGCGCCCCTTTTGCACGGAGTCACGAATAGAGCCTCCCCCTCGGTAACTCTGTACATGGCCACGGGACTCGCGAATTTGGTTTTATCCTAATTAAACGGCGCTCACTCGGTCAAGACGCCCTCTCCGCAGCCGGCCAACTTCCCCATCGACTGATCCGCCTCTCGGAAGCCTCGCATCCCTTGCGCTGCCGGAGCGGCGTGTCTCGTTAATGGGATTGCGCCGGTTCTGGGCGACGAAAACGGCACCGGTCTTAAATTATTTTTGGAAAATCGAGGGACGAATTCGCGCACGCTGATGCGAGGAAAGAAAGTTGTTCGACTCCTCTCCCGGGGCGGGAAGGAAAGAGGGGAAGGACGCGGGGGTGGAAGTTCGCGAGGACGGGGAGAGACGTTGGGAAACTTCTGCGTACGGTTGATAATTATGATTGCTGTGTTTTGGCAGCCGTGGAATCTGACGACGCACTTTCGAAGCTGCAGCGCTGCCATTTTGTTTCGGATAACAAAACTGACAAATTTATTGGCGTCCTTTAATTTCTTCGGGGACGATTTGCGAAGCTATCCACGCCTGATGTGTATACATATATTTTTTGCTGAAATCGTACGCGTCAGAAAAGACTGCGCGGTGACGCTGGAAAACAAAAGCCGATTCCCTAAGAGCTTCGGGTCGTTACGCGAATCGATCGATACCGAACCGGCACGTAACGAAGGCGTTCGCGATTTTAACCGAGTTCTGTTTTTCCTGGAATATCCGATCGATCTTTTCAACGTCTAAAAATATAACAACGCCTTTTACTCTTTCGAGATCACGACGATCTCTGAACGAACACGACGTCGGAACGTCGTTTCAGAGTGTCCACGGGCGACGGCGAACCCGATCCGCCGTCGCCATGTTTGAAACGACGCAAAACGCGCGGCGTTGTCGAATGAAGACTTATAGCGGCGGGGAAATGTCAAAGTTAATGAACAAAGCCGTTCCCATGGAAGTGGCTAGGCACCTGGAATGCCGCCGAACGACTTACCCGGTACCGACTACGAGAAAACGTAGAAGCCGATAATTAGTACATAAAAGCTCGTAGCGTTACGGAACAGGAGTGGATGTAATGTCACTTACACGGGGTGAACGAACCCGGTGGAACCCCAGTCGGGCTCAAGGAGACGACAGACACTCGTTATTTGTCCTCCACCGGCGATTCGTTTTATCCGACGGAATTATGAACGTTCGAGGGTGCAAATAGAGCAAACCAGAAGAGAGTCCGGTCGTCGTTCCAGCAAAAGAACGTCGCGAAAAGAGTCGAGGCTGCGCCGGAGGAAATATTTCCAAGGGACGCCGCGCGCCGTTCGAGAAAACACGCAAAAACAATAATTTGCTCTGGAAGCGTTCGGGGCGGCGGGGAGGGACGGTCGATCGTTTTATTTTTCGTAACAAGACGAGTGGCGGCTATTAAAACGTCGGCGAAGCTTTATTAACGCGCGCAGAGAGCGCAATGGCGCGGACGTAACCTCGGCGATGGAGCACGCTTACGAAAATAATGGGAGGAAGTTGGTGCGAAGGTTTGTCCTGTTGCACTTTGATGGACAGATGTACTGGGCATTGTACTGGAACGTCCTGTCTACGTTCTAGCCAGACAGAAAATTCGTCGCTTCGAATTGCTCTACATTTCGGGGAATCGGGGGAACGAGGTCTACTGCTTCTCGGTTAGGGGGTTCACGGTTCGGGGTAATTAGTTGGTGAAAATTGCAATGGTGCGTGGCTGCTGGTCGTTTTTGGACGCGATATAGGGCCGGTAGGGAGCCTGGTCGGGCGAAGATTTGATTGATGATAGAGCGTTCGGGAGTCGAGCGACGATTGAAAGTGTCGGCGGTGATCGAAACGCGCCACTCGTGTGAAAAGTGGAGTTCGTAATAACGAGCGAAACTCTGTTTACTGGTAATTCAGTACGGAATACAAGCTCGATTTTCTAGTGGCCAAATCTAGAATTACTGTTTGCAATCTTCCGCGTTTAATTATGCAGAGCATTTAATTTAAAGGTTTATCTATCATAACGTGCATAATTGTTCCACTCCAATCGTTGACTCCGTTACAGGGTGTCTCAACACAACAGGAGAGCACGTGTTACCTCGGGTAAAAGTCTACGCTATAATTCTTCTAAGCAACCTTCCGATTCTCTGGAAAGTGCTTCGGAATGAGATTCCAATTCGAAATCCAATCGCAACCGAAGTCCAGGTCCCCCGAAGGGTTAGCAGACGCGACACAGCGCTGATCGGTCAGTTCATCCTCGAGGTCGTCCAGTTTTCCAGGATTCCGTCGGCCCGTAAACGAAGTTAGTCTTGGCCCGTTATTTTGGATTACGCGGGACACGGGCATAGCTTTGGGGTCGCGTCCCTAATGAAGGCACGTGCTCTGCCTTCTGCGCCGCCGCCACTGGCCAGGCCTGGGCTCTCCTTTGTCGCCCGCGACACGCCGGGGCTTTGGACCGAGCTAGACACAGTTTAATTAAGCGAAACCAGAGCGTTACGTCGCCTGTGTATGTACACGTGTCGGTGAACACCCACGCGATCCCCGTGTACAACGGGCTACCAAGTGCCAGCTGCACGG